TTTAATAACATCACTATAATCATTATTGTTGTTGTTTATTGTTCTAATCATCATTTACATATGTATATAGGAATAAAAATTAATATTTAACACTTGACGATCTTCAAAAATCATATACCTTCGAAACTACCTTTTAACAATAAACCAAATATCGAAGAAATTAGTCTAATAAATTAAGTTGTGCTACTTGAAGATGTATTTAAAGGGTTGGTTTTCGACTTGGTTGAAGGACAACTCTCTTTCTAACTCTTCTCTTGACCATATCTCTTGATATAACTTGAAACTACCTCAATATAACATGGGGCATACTGCAACAAAACCAGACAAAGTGAACTTAAAAATTTCAATCATTTTTTCTACAAGAGAAAATTTTTTCTTTATTATATATTTCTAAACCTTATACATTAAAATGAAATCAAATAGGTGGGTGGATTTTCAATTATTTATAATTAGTTTATTTGCAATGATGGACCAGATGATAAGATATTGTGAATAAAATAATGATATAATTTTAAAAATAGTTTTTTTCTCATTTTCGCAAAAAATCATCTAAGGCAAGTTGATTCATTCCATATGAAAACCATGAAGATCGTTTTTTTAACGTTTTGTCTGAAAGTTTTATTAAACACGAATTTATCAACAGCTGTTGAAAAAAGTTATAGTCAGTTAGGAGTCATGTTGCATTGTGCAAATATTAATATCAAAAAGAAAATACTTACTGCACATTTAATTATTGCCTCATAAAAGTAGACAAAATCTTCGATTTCAGAAAAATCCCATGGAACAGTTGCATTATCAATTTCAACAAGGTGATAACATCCTATTTTATACATATAATAATATTTCAATTTAAGTTATCATCTTCAATTATGTGTGATTGTATAAAAAACAAGTCATATACCAGCAAATCGAAGCACATATAGATGTATCTCAAGTTTATAACTAAAGACTTCAAATTCTGGTGTTATCACCTTTCATTTTCCTATTCTATCTTTTATGATATTGAAAAACATCTTTTTCAAATTTTTTGCAACCTTCACACAGTCATCTATTTCTTTCTTTTCTCTGACATTATGTGGACGACTCCCTTCAATATATACTAGTTGATACTTGTTGACATCATTTGTGAAACCAATTCCATTGCCTTTTTGTCTATAGATATTATGAATTGAAGTTACTTCACCACTGACAAGATTTGGTAATAATAATTAGAATGATATTCAGAATTGCCATAAATACAAGAGTACAAGAGGAAATTTATTTACAATGTGTAATAAATGTCAGCACAGTATAAAGACTAGTGCCGTAAATTATGATGATGGTAGTAATTATATTTATGGCATATAAAAAGTGGTTGCAATTACCTTTGCAACCACTTTTGCAACCATACTTTTTCCTTTTTTGGATTATGGCACTAGTCTTTAGCACAGTACATCAAAGCAGCTTTCAGGCATGGATGTACAAAATCATTTAAATGACACTGCTCTAGAGTCTGTATATTTTGAAGTGGGTTGGAATGTCCAAGAGAAAAAGCCTGTAAACTAAAAAAGCAAAATAGATTTCATTAGTAGTGTTCATTGGTAACCATCTTCTCCCAAAGCATAAGAACAAAAAGTAAACTATATACAAAGTATCAAAAGTTTTTTTTATAATTCTTATTGCCATTTGAGTTACTTTGTCAAAACTTTTGATATTCAAGTCATCTAAAACATTTAGCCATTGTCGATATGTCAAGTCCTTGTTGCCAAACAAAAGCATAATATTAATAGAGTACATACAAGTCAAGTAAACATTCATTATAAATATCATGACTCTTACCTGCCCAAAAAATTCTACTAGAAAATCATGTGTTTCATTGGGAATAATATTATCCAAATATTCTAATGATAAAAGGTATTCTTTGTACACATCTTTAGGCAACGTTCTTATAAATGAGCCTTTTGGTATCAGATCCATTATATTAGCAATCACCAAAGGATCCTTATTGTCCTTCTTGTAGTTTTCAAAATTTTCAATAATAACCTTGAAATTCTTGTTGATTGATATTTCTTTACAAATGATTCCCTCAATTTTAACCTAAAAAAAAATATTTTATAATTGCCAGAATAAGAAAACTGTCCATAAATGAAAAAATGTATTTTTAATAACCAACTTCAATATCATCTGATTCTTCACTAGAATCAATCTCTTTAGTAGAATTAATTCCTTTAGTATTTTCATTAGTCTTTTGTTTTTTGGCTATATTGGTTGCTAATTCCACATGCTTTCATTTCTCAATATCAGCTATAAGGTTTAAGCAACTAGCTTCATTCAATGTTCTAGAGTATGCCTGATTTTGCATTATATTCTCAATGAGTCCCACTTCCTAATCAGTGTTAGAATACAGAAAAAAAGTTTTTTAATCAGATTAACCTATCTGAATGTTGGCCACAGTATTTATTTATTGACTCAATTGGGTTCCAAATTTTGTCAACGGTAAAAAACAATGGTAATTTAATCTTATTGAAGATGTAATTTACTTACGGATGATGATGTGGAAGTTCCATTATTTTCCTGTAGTTTAAAGATTGGGATTAATATGAAAAGCAGTTAATCAATCTAATCAAAGAGAATAAGTCTAATTAAATTATTATTACTTTATCATTTTGATTGTCAAGTATTGGTCGTTTCTTTTTCCTAAAGAATAAATAATAAACCAGAAACTAGAGTAACAATGAGTGGTGGGCAATAACCACCACCACCATCCTTAAAACACTCACCCTTTTTCTTCACCAAGAGCAGTTTGTCTGCTTCTTAAGTTTTTACAATGCTTTGGTGGCATTTGAAAAAAATATATGAAAAAGAAGTTTGTGATTTGATCGATGTGTACACATTAATTATTTATCCTATTGGTTTTTTTTTCTGGTAGGACAGACACAAATTGGAAAAACAATTTATTTTTTGACAGAGTCCAAGGTGACAAAACGTGAGTGTTGTTGTTTGGTTTGGTTTGTGTCTCCTAAAGAAAACATGTTAATAACTAACCAGAGGTACTTTTTTTTACTTGTATTGATCTGTATGAGGTGTCTTTTATTTTAGCTTATAAATATTTTAATTGGAATCAAAACGCAGAGCAGATCTTTCTGGGTAATTACAAGATTTTCATTGATAATATTTTGCTTTTAGTAATCATTAATAATATTAATATTACTATATTAATATAATTACAAGAAGATGTCAAGGCGGCATGACTGACTGTTGAAAAAGAAACATTTTGAATATGCAATGTTTGATTATTGGAAATTGGCAGGTGTTGAAGCATGCATGCTACCTTGAACACTTTACAGTCATTCTCTCATCTTCCTCGTGTACATAAGGCTAATCTGATTTGATCCCCCGATGATACAATGATGCTACCAAATTCCAGGGGGCGGGTAGCAATGCCCTGGAGTTCACTGAGACTGCATCAATTGTCAATGATGCTTTTCACTAATCTTCCCAGACCAGAGAAGGCTGCTGACATGCTGGCCGAAAAGTTGCTTGCAATGATCCTGTCCAAGTTGCAACTCTGCTGATGAATTGCAGTTCCATGTAAATATCTAGATCCATCAAAGCAAAGAGAATCTGCAGCTTGCATTCAGAGCAGGGTTTGTGGCCCTGAAATTGCATTTGGAGTCTGATGTTAAGAGGAAAGTTGTAAAATAGTGTTTGTTTTGTATAACCACTTTCATAAATTCTCTGTTTCTCTGATGCTAACCAATTTAATAATTTTGGGTAGGGGACTGAATGGGGTTTTTGCCCAATCAGTCCCCTGTTGTATAGATTAAAATTATCCCACAATTATATACATCTTTGTCAGCAATATGACCAACAACAAAAAGTCATAAAATGGTTCAGATTTTGGTATGTTATGTTATAAATTAATCATATTCCCATAAATACTCTGCATTTCTTTAATTTTTATTTGACCAACTGAACTTGTTATTTAAATTAACTTTATTCTAGTGAGAGAGGGTGATAACACAAAGCAAGCACCAGCTATCAGTGATTAATGCCCATATGGTAACAGCCAAGCCTGGTCTGAGGAAAAGATAAGTAAAAGTTTTGTCCAAAGCCTTCCAACATGTTTAAGTCTGTTTCACCTGTGGAAAAGAAAAAGTTCCATGGTGCTGAATTGTGCTTAATTGTGCCATCTTGCATGTTGGTGATAGGAAAAGTTTTAATTAAATCTGACACCTGTGATCAACATCAGATTTATTATAATCAGGAAAAGTAATTTATTTTGTAAATCCCAGAGATCTGGGTAGACAGGCATTAAAATAATTTGAATATTATAAATAATGATGTACATCAGGAAAATGGGTACAAATATTATGCATATATAATATGCAATTGCAGTGATTAAGCATATAATATATGTACAATTTGCATACATAAAAAAATACACGATTTGTACACATATTATATGCTTAATCCCTGCAATTGTGTATTATATACACATAATATTTGTACCCATTTTCCTGATGTAAAAGTTCATTTGATAGAAGAATTCGAGGTGTATAGATTAGTAAAGAAAAATTAATTTTATATAAACTTTTTTTTAAATAAAAATTGAGCTTTGTTATTTTTTCATCATTAGAAGATATAGGAATATTATTTAACAGTTTTACCATTAAAACATTTTAGTAAACTTGTAGATATTGTTAAATGTAAAGCTCCTAACAGGTTGGGTTCAGGCAGGTTAAGTGTCAACCTGAATGTTTTAAAGGCCAACCCAGGACCGACCCAAAATTTTCAGGTTGAGTTTGGGTTGATTTCAGGTTAATAAGAAAATTTTGTGATTTACATAAATTTAGATAGTAATAAGTTTTATTTTCAACAAGGGGAAATTTTTTATTAGCAGTAATGGGATTATCATAATTGAGGTAACATCCTGTATAATATTTTCCCATCTGAGTTTTAACTTTTGTATATTGCGTTTACAAGAAAACAGCTTAAGAATTAGATAAGCAAGAAAGGCAGGAGTACTGTTGTATGCATCAATAAATGTTGTATTTTGAAAAGAAGACA